TTTTTTTTTTTTTTTGTTTATTTGAATTCGGATAGCTCAACAGTACAGAAGTACAACTACATAGAGTACCGAATAGAAGGCCCCGAGAACGGGAAACCAAAAAAACAAAAAAACAAAAAAAACAGCAACATCAAGTTACTGATTATGCACATTGCTTGAAAGCAAATCACAACAATGATTAAGAGTTAAGCTGTCTTTTAGCCAAATAGCCAATTTGACGCGGAAATCTGCGATAGTAGTGCAGGACTTCAGGTCGTCTGGTAAATAATTCCAAACGACCTTCTTCCAAGTTGCTTCACGTTATCTTGCGTTTGAAAGCCCTATTTGAATATTGCGGGCAGCTGTATGTGGCCAGCTGTGTTTGATGGTACGGTACGGTACGGGAGACGGTGTCGTATTACCCTCGATCGTACCTGTCCCGTACCTATCCCCTACCGTACCGTGCCATCAAAGACGGCTGGCCACACTGCATATTCAAATAGGGCTTTCAAATGCAAGATCACAATGTGAAACAACTTGGAAGAATTAGTATGTATGCGAAGTGTATCGGGGGATGCATGCAGGGCGCGCGATAGTGCGGGTTCGAATCCCAGGTTATGTCTAAAGAAAAAGGATTTTTTTAAAGAATTTATAACATCCCTATGCTTTTTTTTTGTCTAGGTCATCAAGGCAAAAAAGCATAGCGTAGGGCCCTGAGCTTCCAGCTCTCTCGTAAGGAGGCTCCCACCTAAAGAAGTAAAAATATAAGGTCCACGGACACCCTGTTTTTTATGCATAGAATGGTGGAGTGATGTCTCCTCTTCAATTTGGTATAGTTTTTAGGTAGGATCACCAGGCATATTAGAGGTATTCTGGTGTATTTAATGAGTGTACAATTTCTTGATTTTCGAAAATAAATGGTAAAATAATTTGGTTTTTGACCCAAAGAAGCCTCCTGGAAGGAGATTACTAAGCATTTTCTTCATCATATGTTTAAGAACAAAATTTGGAGGCATCTTGTGTACACAAGATAGACTGTGTCTTGGTTTTGCCCTTGGTGAGCCACTTTTTTCGAATTACGGGTACCAGAAATTTCCATCAGGTGCGGAATTGTGAAATGGTTCAGCCTGCTACATTTTGTCCATGGACATATGGATTCTTGTGGCTTTTTCTGATCCTTAAGCCCCAAGAATCACAAAACCGACAACACCAAACTGATAATGGACAGTTTTGATGGTGTCACCAGGCACTTTAGGCCCCTACGAAACAATATAATGTATCAAATTATGGTATTTTAGACCAATTCCGAAAACAGCATTTTCAGAAAATCTGATCATTCTTGCCTTCTTGACTAAATAACACTACCAATGACATATGGTAGTCATGATGGTAATATTATTTTAGAAGAAGTTATTTTCATGCTGCAACCTCCTTTGGACATACCAGATAGTCTGTGCTTGGAAAGGTACATGCATAATTATGTCATGTAGTCTTCAGTCCTAGCACATTGATATACGAGTAGTGTACATGTACATGTCAGGCAGCGAGGTTTCATAACAACCTCGACCATGAAACTGGCATATGGATAATGTGAAAGCAGGCATTCAAAATCAGGCACACTAATCTCACACTCGTGCGTGCACACGCACATAAACACCCAACCACATGCACGCATCATAGTAACACTACTACTTCCTCCGTTAACAAAAACTTCGTGATGGAATTTTCAGGGGCTGATTTGGGCAAAAACTGCCGTGAAATGAGTCACAATCACTTTCTTGGCCTTCCCTGGCATGCCATGACAGAGGTACGATGCAAAGAAAGCGACCTTTCACAACAAGCCGAGCGGAATCGATGGTTGCGCTGTGGAAACATAGGTGATGACAGTCATGGCGAGCGAAACTGAAATGCCACTTCTCCGAGGGGATATTATTGCGCTGCTTGGCCTCTCTACCACTTTAGCACTGAGTACGTTGGAGAGTGATAGAGAGCGATAAAACGGAGCAGCGAACCCACACAATGAGCGAGTGAACAAGGAGCTGCTCCGATCGCACGGCTCAATGAAAATAATTCTGAACTCAAGTAACACGTTAGTTCTTGTTCAACCTGCGCAAAGCCCAGATTCGAATGCTGATGACCATGCATTCTTTCAGAAGTCTGGAGTCAGATGCGAGTCTCGTGGCTGAAGAAAGTCGACTGGACTTGCTAGCCGCTGCCGTTCAGTGCTGGTATCCATTAGAGAAAATGGAATCAGTTTAGCTGTGCCTTTACTCCTCATTTCGCGGAGTTCTGGAGAGCGAAGATGAAACCAGGGAGACGTAAAATATTTTCACGACTCCCTGGTGGAAACGAGTAATCGCCAACGCTTCGGATCACGCAGCTTGAAAGCAAACTTACTTGAACGGCGGCGACATCAAGCGAAGTGTGATCAAAGAAGCTGAGGCAGGGCTGAAACGAGCTGAACAACGACTCCAGAGAGAGAGATGACGACTCGCGTACAGCAGATGACGACTCGCGTGCAGCAGATGACGACAGCGACGCAGGTCAAAAATGAATCGAGCGAAAGCGACGCAAACTGAACTCTCTGCTCATTCCGCCAACAGTTTCTCTTGTAAAAGCGCTGTACATAGGCTGAATCACCGTCGTCCAGTAATTTGCAGTCGATACAAACTGTTCTTGACCTGTTCTAAGCGTTTTCATATCCCTCAAAATCCATCACGAAGTTTTTGTTAACGGAGGAAGTAGTCCATAGTAGGATTTAGTGTAAGTATAAGCATGAAAACCAGCCACTGCACTGGGCATGCATTTGCTGGTTGTCACTTGCGTTGATAGCAGCAGACTCCAGAAAACGTACGCATGAAGGGCGATATGCATCTACGCACGCTGGCGTGCACACGTACGATATAATGTGCTGTCATGATCTCTTGGCAATTATTTTTTGTGCCTCAAATGAGGTTCACAAATGTGCATTCACATGCACCTCCTGTACTGTAAAGCCACTGCCACACTGTGCTTGTGGACACTAGAGATACAGAACCAGCACCGTGAGCCCCCCCCCCCCCCCCCCCCCCCCCATACACACCTAGTCTTTCACGAGCGCGTGCACACATACGCACGTGCATACACACATACATATACACAGATATTTGCATGCACATACACACAGTGCACTCGTGGGAACATGTGCACAACCTAGATCAACATTGTGTGCGAACTCACACATGCGGGCACGCGCACGCGCGCGCACGCACACACTCATACACCTGCCCAACGCTGAAGTGAGGATAGCAGAAAAAACTACGTTAGACATAGCAACTTGTGCTCGGATTACACCTTTCAACAGCTTGCACACACACACACACACACACACACACACACACGCACACGTGCGCGTATACACACAAACGTGCGCATGCGTGTGCACACACATACGCGCGTACACACACACACACAAACGCATGTGCTTGCGCATAGGAAAGGATTCAAAATATTCAGCCATAGACATTCAGTACCCAATGCACACCTGAGTGTGCACATCTTAGTTGTGGCATCCTCATTTGTACAAAAGCAGGATTTAGAAGTTCGTCCCTGGTTCAGAACACAAGCTTCTGGCGCATGGCCAGCGTTTTCCAGACACCATCAGTACAGTACAGTGGTTGACACGAACCTCATTCCTACAGGGACAGTTGCCCAAGTTCAGCAGCTCTGAGATGCTTTGTCCACTAGGTTCAGAATACTCAAGGATCCACAGAAAGTTTCAAACGGCACTCGTGCGACTGGAGCTGCAAGTGGGTCCAATTACCAGCGAGTGGGCAGCCACTTCACGCTCCACAGGTAGTTCATGCTAAATTCCAGTACCAGTACTAGTATCACCGCGTTCGACATCGATGTCTTCACTGACTTCAGCCTGCTTTTCTCACCCTTCTTCGTCAGTAATATTTTGTTCTTCGTGGCCACCGCGTACCGCTTCAGCAAAGTTTTCAGAAAAAAATCAAGCAGCGTAGGAACTGCCTTTGTTTGGCATTATCCATGGTCAGTGATTCTTTCCAGCGTAGAAACTGCCACGACTACAGAAACACTGCAACGAGTAGAACTACATCCTGGAACAACTGCGAGCCACAGAGAAATCAAAAAACTTCTTTCTGAACAACAGCTTGTTTCCGCATGGAACACGATATTTTTCTCTCTCTCTCTCTCTATGCTCGGCTGGCATCGATGCTCGGCTGGCATCGATGCTCGCGGACAAGAAGCAAGAGCCGTACTCTGCCACAATCTCCTAAATCCGATGTAAGCTCAGCTTAGCCCTCATCCGTGCTGCTGTTGCCAGTCTGCGAGGCCATCGGCACCGAGGGCCCTCAGATGCAAACGACTCGGCCCGATTTGCGGTTGCCATGAGCAGCATCGGTTAAAGCTCCCTCCTGAGGCTCCATACTAGACTCTTTTCACAGCCATTTTTGCTCTCTCGACTGTCTTCACAGCCATTTTTGCTCTCTCGACTGTTTTCACAGCCATTTTTGCTCGTTTTTCTTCCGGTGCTGTTGATGAATTGAGGTTGCACTCGTAATTAATTGTGTTTATTTTGCCCGTACAAGAGGCTTGGTTATAATTATGGTAAAAAAAATTTGAATCTGGCGGCAAAAAACAGATTTTGGAGGTGACCTTTTTACACTGCGCTGCGCAGCTGTTCGGAGCCCTTACATGATTTGACTGACCCCACTCACCTATAATATAGGCGTTGTACTACTACCAAGAGTACATGTACTCTTGCTACTACCATGACTACTAAGGCCACGTAGATCATAGACTACTGTAGAACGGGTCCGGGTAACTAGTGCGACGTAAACATGTTTGCGAATTTTGCGAGAGGCCCCGAATCGCAAACTTTGAACAACGCAAACTCGCGCCATGTAAGGTTCAGTGCAAGGACTGACTTGACTGTGTAGAACGACTGTAGAACGACTCACAAACATTAAACAGCGCAAACCAGTCTCAATTTGTAAAACGCAAACATTAATAATTGTCGCAAACGTTACCCGTTTTACAGTACGCTTCGTTCGAAGTCTTCCCCGATTTTGCCGGTCCCCGTGCGAGACCGTGCGCATGCGCTGCCTGCACTCCGTTCGGCAGGAAGTCACAGTGCCCGTCCCATACATATACGCAGTCATTTTGGACAGAAGGCTCACTTGCTCATCGTTGTCTTTAGAGAAAGGTTAAACTACGATTGCTGGCAATATACGAGTTACTCGGAGTGGTATACGTGAATTGGACGAGCCATCGTTTGCAGGTGAGTCCATAGCTCTCCGTTGAATCACCATCCTGCATGTATGTTGTATTATCATGTTCGCATCTTTCCTGCGCCTGTGAGGCAAGCAAAGGGCGGACGGGTCTCTCACACGGCTAGAGTAATAATGTCCTCCTGGATTGGAAAGATTTTTCTTCTCCTTCCCCCTTTTTTATTTATTTTCCACCAGTCGGCAACTGTACTTCTTTTTCGTCTTAAGCGTTAGACAAGGGGAAGTAGCCATGTAGGGGCGTGGGCCCGCCTTTCGCCACCGGGAGTTACAGCTCCTTTCCTTTGATATGGTGGTTGCATAGAACGCGGCCGTTCACAATGTTTTTCTTCCAGAGCGATCATGGTGTGTGTGGCATGCCTCACTATAACTTGTCATCCGCCACAACTGGCATTTCGTTTTCGTTCTGGAGCTCATCCTGCCTCTGGTTTGGGCTTGCGTTCACTTGCGTACTTCGCCCTCGGGCAACACAGGTAATTTTGGCGTCTGGGTGATCTTGCCTGTCCTCTCCATAGACCACTTTGGCGATACAGTTGACTCACAGGACAGCCTCAGCTAGCAGGAATTTGCCACCGTTCACCAAAATGTAAAAACGTCAGCCTCCAAGGCTGATACATGATCGAGTAAACGATCGCGGATTGAAACATTACCTCTCCCCATTCCTCTATTGAGAGCATTAACACTGGACCCTGCTGTGTATTCAGGGAGTGCGTTCGATTTTGCCCGTGAATCGATTCATGAATCCACTCATGAATCGATTCGCGCTATTCACATCACCCCATGTGAACAGGGTGAATGGATTCCGAATTGATTCCAGGGCTCATGCATGACGTGGAAGTCGAACGACTTGAATGCACTTGAATCGATTCATGAATCGTTTCAAGTCCGTAATGGAACGCACTCACTAGACTGCAACTCCTTGACTAGGTCACACGTGTACTAAAACACATGCAGACCATGGCCAGGAAGTGAAGACAATTAAATTACACTGCCAGTAGGGATCTAACATCCCCGCAGCCGTATGTGTATTAACTGCCTGTGGACTGTGGGTAGATTCATTTGGTACTGTTTGCCAGACCAGTGCTGTGTGCGGCACGAGGGGCACCTGAAGGCACCGGTGGATAATGCTTGTTACCGTATTGTCGCGTATTAAAGCCGGGCGTATTCCTGTAGAAGCCGATGTAAGGGCCAGACTTCTATTCACAGCAGGCTTCCATTCAAACCAGGTATTTCTGTGTATGTCAACACTAAACCAGGCTTATGTGCCGACCGTGTATCTTGAAAAAATAAGGCTTATTTTCAAAATAGGCTTCTATTTGAGATAGGCTTTAATTATTTTAATACGTATCTAATATTGACTGAGTACGAGGTCAATATAGGAAATAAAAGCCGAGTAAAAGACCGAGGCGAAGCCGAGGTCTTTACGAGGTTTTATTTCCTATACTGACCAAGTACGAAGTCAATATTAGATTTATCACGACAAACAGTCCGTATTTCATATTCCAGGACGATAACCTCATGAATCCCGGTTTTATGATTGCACAACCGTTGCACCACCACCTACTCATGCAGTGACAATGCTGCACTAGCCACCGTTCAACTGCGCAACCCCTAAGCACTCAAATATAGGCCTAAGGAGTGAAATATGCAGGAATATTTGACTGCTTAGGTATAGCGAAAATCAATGGGAGTCAATACTAAGGGAGTGATAAAAGACAATACGGTCTATGTGGAAATTGTGCTACTAGCACTGCTAGTTATTTGAAGCGATTGAGCTAGTTATAATGCTAGCAGTGCTGATAGTGCTACAGAAATGGCAATCCTCGCGGTGGCAAATAATGACATCCCTCTGGAGTCACTCGGAAAATGGCAGTATCACAGGGCGAACACCAAAACAAAATGCTGACACAGTCATTACATCAGTACAGAGGGCTGTCAGCATCACGGGGAGCAGCAGTGTTTCTCTCTGAGCTCTAAAAATAGCACTACTTTCACAGTGGTGCCAACAGACTGGAAATCTCTGGCTAATTGGACGCATTGATTGTGCTAGGCAAGGTCACATTCGGATACAGTAAAACCTGTCTAAGACGACCGATCAAGGGACCTTGAAAATGTGGTCTCTGTTACCAGGTGGTCTCCTTATCCAGGGTAATTTGGCTGGAAATAGCATCCCTTGGTCCTGGTTGCATTGGTCTTCTAAGACAGGTGGTCGCCTTATCCGAGTGGTCGCCTTGACAGCTTTTACTGTACTTTATGTTAGGGCAGTACCGGTCCTCCCCACATGGGTCATTATGCTAGTTATTATGCTAGCAGTATCCGCCGTTGCCTAGGCACCTGAGGATGAGCTTGCGCCATAGTTACGTCGTGTCGCTGCGTGTCCAAGACAATTTAATCATTCATGGTCTTTAGTGTGCCAGGAGAAACCCGCTATACTTCTGCTCCACTAAAGCACTAAAAACGTCAAAAATTCGGTTCCGCTGGAAAGTCTGGTGGCAGTATCCACCCGTATCATGGTGTAAGAACCGTCAACGCCCCCAGTCACTGAATGTCAGTACATGAGTGTATGCCAATAGTTAAACTAGCTGATTTTTCTCTGGCTCGTTGGGTGCTCTCTCTAGTCTCTCTATCACCCCTCTTCCCCCAACACAACACACCAGCGCAAACGGCAGCCTTTTGGTGGAAATGTATGAATCACGAAAAATGCAAGTAGGAAATGAAGAGAACAAGAAAAGAACAAGAACACAACATCACGAGCACTTTGGCCAGGAAAAGACACGTCTAACATGGCATCCAAAATGGCGGCAGAGCAACCGATGGGGGCCCATCGTGGCTGAAGCTGGTATTGCAGCGACAGCCACCACGGCCACCATTGAGTGCAGAAATAGATCTGAAAACGAAGTCGAGCAAACAGCAACTCAAACAAAGCAAAGGAAACAACAAGACCAGCTACGCGACTACGCGCAGCAAGCAAAGTCATAGCGACGACATCATCAGTCATGCGTGAACACATAATCTAGCATGCGCATGCAGCCTCAGTTGCAGGCGCTGGCGAAATAAATAATGAAGTCAAGACGCAAATAAATAACACAACGAGCGATCGTTGCAGGAAAACAATTACAATTCAAATAAACTACTTCAAGGAAAGATGAGAAGTGAAACGACTAGCACTGGAAGAAATAGAATAGAGTATAGAACAAGGACAATGGAAGCTGACCACAGATGAAGCTACAATGAGGTAAGAGGCATGACACACTGATGACAGATGTCACCACAACAAACACATAATCGTAATGTTTGTCTACACACACATTGTATCGTCACACTACACACCTTGTCATATTGTCACACCTCCCCCTGGTGACATCACGTCAACAGTTAACTACGGCAACGAACAGGAGGAACGAGACCAGCACGGTTACTGTAGTATCCCTGCCCGACCAATACGGAAGCAGTACGGAACTAATACGGAACGACCTTATGTTGTATCTCCGCATATAAGCGTACGGCGCCTGCTGCATAAAAGCAGCTGCGTTTTTCTGTTTTAATTAGATTAGATTAGATTAGATTAGATAGCAATGAAAGCTAACTCGAAGAAGAAGGAGTCAACCTCTAGGTGAGCACCGAAGAGAAAGTTATTTATTTTGCCGCTTCTTCTTTCACTAATAATTATATCTCAGGTGTGTACCTGAAAGTAGAATAAAAGTAATTCTTGTTGATGTTGTTGTTGAAGACGATGACCACCAACTTGAAGTGGTTTGGCTGGTACACCAGAATCAGAATCACTAGTACTTGAAGTACATACATCATCATACTCAGGCACACTCACGCCTGACGGCTTAATTAGATCAATATTGACAGACTTCACAGAATGTCGACCGTTAGTGTCTCGTACAATTACACCAGTTTATGGAGACACAACACTGTAAACTGTCCATCTGGCCTCATACGGCGCTGTTCGCTTCTGGGGGCGATCTCCCTGCCGCAACATCACGGTGGAACAAACACTGACAACGCTCTGCACGGAACATGGAGAAACTACTACCGTAAAATCCTGCCAGAGCACCCAGTCTCTCCTATCCGCCCCTCCCTGACTTCTTGTCAGGAACGTGATTTCTCGTATCTCTGTCGCAGTCTGTGATGCCGTACTGTACTGCAGACGCGTGCTCGACCCCGTTGGAAATGTACGCAACAGTGCCCACCGGTGCACCCTCTTGACCAGGGATCGCACAAACCCTGAGTTTTGACGGGTCTGTACGACTCGTGGCTCTTGACCTTTGGTCGGTGTACGAGATGCACGAACAGTTTTCGTAGGGTGAGTAATTTTTCATGTAGCTCTGAATGCGGCAAGTAGGACTCGCCCATCCGCCCCTCCCCACCGGAAGCGTCGAGGAGGTAGGGGCGCTCTGGCGGGATTTTCGGTACGAGTACTAGTAAAACGGTAGAAACACGAAACAAAACCATATGGATCGACTACATACGAGGCAGCACCTCGAGAACGTTCAGGGGGACATCTAAACAAATCACGCGACACAGTCGCAATATCAGAGCAGTCCGACGGCAACTCCGTGACAAGCACAAGTGCACAACACAAGACGAGAGCAAAGCTACCCATGCTGAAGTCACGACGAGCATGCAAACACAAGTTCCAGATTCGAACGAGTAGCCATGGTGAGAACGCGAAGAGGAAAACGAAACACAGCGGATACGCAGACAAACTCAGCGTCGTGGATCGATTAGTTGGGCGCCAAATGTCGTCTCGGGTTTGAGAACCGGGAATGAACTGCCTCTACTCTCTTCGCCACGCCACACAACAAAGGACTAGTGCAAATTGAGGAAGAGCTTTTTCTTAGTCTTGGCTTCACGCGGCGACTGGAGAACTCATAACTAACAACTCACTGACAACGAACGACTGACACTCAGACAAGACGAGACAACGGAATCTAGTGAAGGCGTGCAATGGGGACAAGACGAGCAAGTGTGTACGAGTACACAACGGGGACAGAAGACGATGCAGCCGCGTGTACGCATAGCAGGAGTAAAACCAGCGCAGCAGCTAGCAGTGTGTACCACGGTTCAGCAGCATGTACATCCATGAACGAAGAGACACTAAAGCCTACAGTCCATTCAGAAAAAGATGAGCACTGGCTCTGGAGAGCTCCCGTGTTTGGCGATTTTGTGGTACACGGTGCAGTGCCGCTCGATTCGAAACTTGAAAAAGGGTCCAAAAAGGCACCTCAACTGGGGTTCGAACCGCAAATGCACTGTTATGCAAGTGGAGTGAACGGCCTGGATTTTCATGGTCTTTACCCAATTCAGTGCTTTGGGGGCAAAACCTGGCCGAAATCCTATTCTTGTTATGGCTTGCTTTTTGGAGAAATAGACTTCAAAAACACAATTGGAAGAGCATTCCATGGGGGATTGCCAAAAAAATTGTGACAAAAACTTAAAATTTGATCCGTTTATGGCCAAAAGCTAGGATATCATCTTTTTATGAATGGACTGTAGTTCACATTCGACAGGGCGTGACGGAACGCGACGTAAGGATCGACGGGAAGCGACGGGACGGTCTTTAGGCACCCAAGATGGCAGAGGTCGTATCTGCTCACAGGGGAGACAGATGAGTCCCGGGACAAACCACCCTGGGGCCTAATAAATTACAACTCCGAAGAGAGGGCAACTTTGTCTAATTGTTGTTGTTTTATTTAGAGCAAAGAGGAAGAAATGTTTCATGCGCATGCGTTTATCTGGTGAGGGAGCTGACGTCATGCAGCCAGGTCGCTACAGTACTCCCCCACCAGAGAACAAGCGGAGCGCAGAGAACGAAAGAGAAAAAATATCACATCGGGGTCACCAATATAGGGTTTTACGTCGGGCCCTAGACGACGGCTACTTTGGCCAACCGGACAACAAAGAAGTTGAGACCAAAGAGAATGTTTTTATTTCCTGCGCATGCTTATGTAGAAATGACGTAATGACAGTAGTGAGTCAGGTCGCTACAGGTCTGACGGCGTCCAATGTAAACACCAGGAACGGGAACGCAACTGTAGTACCGTACAGATCGGGAAGCGATGAGAAGAGTAGGATCGATCCAACTTTTCATACCGTAGACGGGCATAGACGGGGACGCAAGCGTACAAAACGGCTGCAATTCGAGTGTGAACAGGAGACGGCGTCGTGCGCCGAATACTCCCGATTCGTACTTGGATATTTTTAGCATTTCAAACACTGCGCTTCCCATGATAACTCACAGAATGGCTAGCACGACTTGAGTTGAATTTTAGCAACATAAGATCTCATGTCACTTATTGTATTTAGGGATAGTTCAGAAGCGTGACAGATGAACTATTCTATCATTTCCTGGGGCTATTATTTGAATGCCACAACTTTCAGGGCAAATGTTTTGAACTTCATGAAAAACTGGTATTGTGAACTTAATTCCGCTTCTTTCAAGGAGAAATAATTGAAAAGAAGTCCCGAAAACGAGAAATTAGGTCCGAAAGTCACCCCGTCACGGACCGTGCCTTATGACTCGCGCCGTTCGACGTTGAACGTCGCAACGACTGCTGCATGTAGTGTCGTACGAGTTGTACAGGATTTTACAGCTCACCCCAGCCCTCCCGACAAGCCCTTACGTCCCGTACCGTCGACGTTGCGTCGAATGTGAACTAGGCTTAAAGCAGCAGCATGTACGACAAAGAGCTACACGTGCAACCACATGTACAACAAAGAGACACAAGGGCAGCCACATGTACAACATAGGGTTAACACACTCAACAGGCTGAACAAAATCAGCAGAGGACAACTCACTTTCCACGTAGTCTCGCACGACAGCCGCTTTACTACACAAGCTATCGGCCCATGCACTGGGGGACATGTCACAACGTTCATCGTCCACAATCAAGCCATGAGGAACCCAGCCACACATGGCTTCACAAGGAGAAACACCAAGCGCAGAATGGGGACGAATACGATAATAATACAACAATACATTCAAAGCAGACACCCAATCGTGAGATTCTTGCAGAGTCTTGCGAATCAAATTCAGCAAAGTCCGGTTAAAACGCTCGATACCACCTTGACTTTGTGGATGACGCACTGCACCATGTCGCACTTCAACACCAAATGCACCATACAAAGACGTAACTACCTGATTGACAAATTCTGTGCCATTGTCACAACGTACAACTGCTGGGGCACCCCAGCGGCAACATACATCCACAAACGCAGCTGCTACAGACGGACCATCATGGCGAACCAATGGGACAACCTCGACCCACTTAGTAAACATATCAGTACAGACAAGAACACAATGATACCGGCGGCTTCTATTCGGGCCCAACTCAAGGGTATCGAGCTGTACTACATTCCACGGACCAGACGGAATAACCGGACGTGTTGGCTCAGCAACAGGCCCACGCTTCGAATTAGCAGCATCACACACATCACACGACTGAATCAAGGACTGACAACCAACGGCCATATTCGCAAAATAAAAACTCGCACGCAACAGCTTCCATGCGGTCTCCCAACTGGAATGACCGCTCACAGCATGGGCACGACACACCACTCGCTGCTGCAATGACTGAGACACAACTGGTACAACACGCACATCATTCGGCGGTACCTTCACACTACGATACAAGTAACCATCATCAGATACAGACAATTGAGACTTCAATTTCTTAAATACCGGGTCGGAAATCTCACGACCATGACACACAAACTCAATCACACTAACAACAACAGGATCAGACTTCTGCGCATCAAGAATATCCTGTAACACAATAGCACTCACAATCTTCGGGGGTGGAGAGACGTCACACTGAACCCACTCACTACAACTTTCTTGACCTCTGCTTGTTTGCTTTTGTCACTCTCTGCCATACGAACAAACTCTCGAAATGCATCGCCCTGCAAATATAAAGGTAGATGTTGCATGCGTGCATCTTCGTCGGACCATTCCTTGCCAATTGCCAAAACTAAACAATTTGCCCAGAACTCCTCTAGGGTGAAGTAGAATAGTTCGCCTCTTTCTCCACAAGTATTTGATACCATACTGCACGACTATTTATAACTTCGAGTTATAGATTTGAATTTGTATGTCGTGTTCTTTGTTTGAGACTTTGCTTACCGTTCTGTTCTTCTAGCCATTCTCTGCATTCTCTGCGCCTGCTCTGTTCCTTTCTTCTCTTGCTATTATCATGTTACCTTTTTCTCTGACTCACTGACTGTCAATTTGTCTAGTTTCAAATTTTTTTCTTTGTCAGCCAGATCGCAGAGATCGTTTCCTGCATCGTAGCTCATGGTTACTTTTCGAACACATTTTTGCGTAGGCATTTTCACGAGGGGTGTTGACGTCATGCCCTATCAGCTACGCGTCATTATTGCGAGCATGCGCATTGCTTTTGCCTCCTGCCTTATTTGCATGCTGCGCTTGCTGCACTGGTTAGCGTCCCCACGCTTGCTGGCCGAAGCCCAATTGACCACGTCGCCTTGCCCCGCCCCTGCCGGTTCCGTGAAGTTCTGGTTTTATTTCTCCTTGTTCATTTGCTCTCCCAAGATTGAGTTGTCGTTTTCTCTATCCTTCCCTACAAGAAACTAACTCTCCTCCTCCATGCACTCTAAAGCCGACCATTGCTACCCTCGGTAGCCATTACTCACACCAATAACTTCAAACAACGAAGGGGTCACGGGTAAAACATTTCCTTCTGACAGCTGTTTCGTTTATCAAAGGCTCGTCAGAGAAGGTGATACTGATATTGTAATTGACATGGCATGCTGATTTTATACGGTGTAATTATTATGGAAATGTTTTACCCGTGACCCGTTAGTTTCTTGTATTAATCAACAGCCGAAAGGTACCGTTCAACAGTTTATTGATATCCTTACTTAACTAATTCATTTCCAAGTGTCAGTCCTTTTATTTACACTACTGTCAGAATTTAGTGTTGTGAGTGCTGTGTGCATGTGCGGAGTAGTAGTGGTGAATAATTGTCGTGCGTGCGTTACACAACAAGGTCTTCACCATCCTTGCCAGCAAACGGCTGGACAAGATACTTGGTAGACATGATTTGATTCCCTCGAGTATTCCACGAACACACAGTAGGAACTCACAGTAAGAACTCACGTCTCACAAAATAAATAAATCACTACGACACTCGTACTCCGAAAACACTTTCCCGACTTTTTCCCGGGTTTCGGCACCACAAAGTTATGAGAAATGGAGCTATCTAGTCTCTCTATCACCTCTCTTCGCCCAACACAACACACCAGCGCAAACGGCGGCCTCTTGGTGGAAATGTATGAATCACGAAAATTGCAAGTAGGAAATGGAGAGAGAACAAGAAAAGAACAACAAGAACACAAAATCACGAACACTTTGGCCAGGAAAAGACACGTCTAACATGGCATCCAAAATGACGGCATAGCAACCGATAGGGGCCCGTCATGGCTGAAGCTGCTATTGCAGCGACAGCCACCACGGCCACCATTGAGTGCAGAAAATAGATCTGAAAACGAAGTCGAGCAAACAGCAACTCAAACGAAGCAAAGGAAACAACAAGACCAGCTACGCGATTACACACAGCAAGCAAAGGCATAGCGACTATTTTTCTTCTTGTGCAGTAAGCCTGCACACCCCGCATTTCGTTGTGTGTGCAGTGGTGGATGATGTGCATGAGCAAAATAGACAAAGAAGTGAAACGACAAGCACTAGAAGAAATAGAATAGAGTATAGAACGAGGACAATGGAAGCAGGCCACGGATGAAGCTACAATGAGGTAACAGGCATGACACACTGATGACAGATGTCACCACAACAAATACATAATCGTAATGTTTGTCTACACACACATTGTATCGTCACACTACACACATTGTCATATTGTCACATCTCTTGCTGGTTGTTATTGTTTGTATTCGTGAGAATCCACCGGTGCAAATGCGTTGTGTGTTGTTGTCCTTTGATTTGCAGGTTGTACAGCGACATGGCGCGCCAACTTGGACTAGTCTTCCTCAATTTCCTGGTGTTCATTGCCTCTCAAAGTGCTGGTGGGTTTATGTAGTTGCAGGGAAATTTGTTCCAATACTTGGTTAGCGCCATATTCCTCACATACTCATACTCAGCCCAAAGCAACAAGGAATATTTTTGGGGATAGTGTGATGCTTCGAGCAACTTGTGTTGTAGTGCAAAAGCTCAAAGAACTGGAAAGCAATGCCAGGCCACTGGCGGCAACTGGCTCGCGAGGAGCCGGGATAAACCCACATTGTGCCACAACAGGGTTGCAAAGCAAAGGCAATGCAATTGGCAACAACTAGCTCGTGAAGAGCCGCAACTGGCTCGTGATGAGCCGCACCAGGCGAAGCAAATGAACGTGTAGGAGCGAAAGAGCTAAATCATCTCCAACAATCGGCGACATCGCCTCTAAACATTTTTTTCCGTATAAAACATTTCCGACCAAACGTTTCTGCATTGTGTGCAGAGTCGCGACGCGCTAGCATGCAAGTATGATTTTTTTTGATTTTCATGACTGTCATGAATGTTCAAGAATGTTCATGAATGTCTCCCCGATTGAAAGTAGAAGATGCCCTGCATTCCATGGCCTTGCTTCCAATGCCGTATTTCCCGGATATAAGTCGCGCCTACCTACGCAATAAATCAGGGGTAAAAAAGGGGTGAGACTTACAATGGAGCATGACTTACTACTGAAGTGAGTATATCAAGCAGTATTGCACAATTTAGGAAACTTCGCTTCTCAACTCCAAACTCCAAAAACGGTCTCTTCGCTGCGATTCCAATTTTTTTTAATTTTAATTTTAACCCTTTATTGGCCGATTAAAATATAACCAAGCCCACGAAATCGCCAAACCTGTACCTAAATTGGACGTAACTTTGGTTTGCACTGGACAAATTCCGCGATCTTGGGCATCCTGGACAGGCCTTGGCGAGAGGAGCGCAATGAGCGTACACACTCGGACTCCACAGGATGCACTGGCCCAGCGCTGCAAGCCAGGGAAGGCCCACCAGCGCTGGGCTCACGCTCGAGATCTATCTCTATCCACCACCTCACTCCTGTTGCCCGTTTCAAACTCAAACTTTTCGTACAGACTCCCAGGAACCTGCTTTGGAAGTTGAACTGGTGTAGCCTTGTCAACAGGTGACGTAAGCAGGGAAAATCCCGGTCATTGACCCACACATCGCGCTCTGAGCGCAAATGTTCCGGAACCAACATTACGAGTGCTATAACTCAAGAACCGCTCTTTGTACAGTCAAATCTGCCGTTAGCGACCTCTGCTGTAGGCGACCATCTACCGTTAGCGACCATTTTTCCATGCACCGACGGTTTCACATACAAACTGATCTGTCCAGAGCGACCGTCTGCTGTGCGCGGCCAGCGACCGCGATTTCATGCCCAGTGGCTGCATACAAATCTGCTGTAAGCGACCGCGACCCAGGTTCAGTCAGGTGCAAAACTGTACTTGCCAGTGCGCTGTCAACTGCAAGGTGTGAAAATGCGCTGTCTTGCAAGTGCGATCGACTGGCCCTGGCCTGTACTGAGGCTGCGCTGTAGCCTTGTCATCATACTGGATCTGGTCACACAGGCGACTGATATTAAATTTTACAAGGAGGAGATGCTTCACAAGTCTGAACTCGAACAGAGAAGCCTTGACAGCTAGCTGAACATGTAAAAGATTAGCTCTGGTATGTGCCCCCTATATTCTATTGAATATCCAATAAAATGATATTAAAGATCACATTATTCTCGTTGATTTGAGTACATGGAAGCATATATGCATGCCCGGTATACCGGATTTACCATACATCTGCTGTAAGAGACCATCTGCCGTAAGAGACCGCTTTTTCTTGCATCAAGGGGCGGTCGCTTACGACAGATTTGACTGTATGACTTTTAAAATTGTTTGAGGCGACAGCTGAGAGTTTTCTCTTCGACCTACATGTTTGACCGAGATTTGACCAAGTTACGATAATTTCAAAATGCCTACCCCATCGAACATCGGTGTTCGATCAATGTATGGGCCAGCCAATAAAGGGTTAATCACAGTGAAGAGACCGTTTTGGAGTTTGGAGTTGAGAAGAGAAATTTCCTAAAAGTGAAAGTGGCTGTGTTTGAGTTTGCGGACAATTAGAGAAAAGTATTGCTCAAACCTGGAAGTAGGGGTGCGACTTTAATGCTAGCTTGCATGCCGTCCTGCCGGTAGGACCACGGGTCGGGTCCTACCGGTAGGACCCAAGAAATCGCGCTGCAAAAGTGCTTTTGGTTAAGAAATTTCTTGAAACAATTGTTGAGATGAGGTCTTTGTCAGGCAAAGTAATGGCGCAAAATGCAAGGCTATGTCCAGTGCATTGCATACGCGCAATTTTCTCAGTTGTCAAAATGGCCGCACATACTCCTGTCGGGGCGCTAGCAACTCTGTCCAAAGTGAATTTGACCATGGCACATCAATCGTGGTGAGGTACTAATGTTTTATTAGTCTGCCAAGGCGGTGGAATGCATATTTCCATACACCGTTTCCATGGTTACCATGGGCTGTTACCATGGAATTTCGTAGTATGCCTTGTGCGATCACGTCTAAAATTTGTGGACTCCTTCATTAGCCCCTGAGCAACAGTTTAGGGTCAAGTTTTAGGTCAATGTTTAGACCTCGGTCCTACCGGTAGGACCTACCGGTAGGACCGAGGTCTATGCAAGCTATCATTAATCAAAGTTGAACTCGGATGGTGAGGCAATTTAATTATGGTAAAAAAAGGAGAAGGACAAAATGTTGCGTTCTAGGTGCTACGAGCTAGGTTTCAGGTCGCTGAATGTCTCAGTACTCCTTGTCAGTTTTGTGACATTGTGTTGCACTCGCTGACTGTAGATCTGTTTACATTGGTGGACAGGTCGTCACAACTCGTTACACTTTGTCCTTCTCCTTTTTTTGGACTTTAATCAAGTGCAACTTATAATCGGGGAAATACAGTATTTGCCATGATATAAGTCACATATTTTTAGAGGGAATTTGAAGAGCAAAAAATCCGGTCTGACTTACAGCCAAGTGTGACTTCCTACTGATGTCAACATTTTTTGAAACAACCACGGCTCGGGGAGAATGAAGTTGAAGACACCAGTGCAACTGTACTTATGATTGCTCATGGCTTAGACCTGGAAATTGGGATGCGGCCTATAATGGATCATGCCACCCTTCTATACAAACTCATCATTTATTTTTATTTATTTATTTATTTCACCTTCCCGTGGCCAGAGAATATAGGCCAATGTGGAGGGAAGGGGGCGGTAGCCAGCCATGGCAGTAAACAAAAACAAAGCAAAAATAAATAAATATTACACATTACTGGAGGCAAAGAGAAACAAATGTGGATGAAGAACTAGCAGTTATTAGAACACGAGCTTCATGTTGGCCTTGAAATCCTTTAGCGTACAAGACGATTTTACTGATAGAGGCAGGGCCAGCCAGAGAGAATAGGCAGCAAAAAACGGAGATCTGGTATAAGCTGAGGTTCGGGCTTTAGGTAAAGTGCAGGGATTGCGCGTAGGACGAGTGGGAAGAAACCAGTTATATTTACGCAAGTGTGGCGGGGCTTTGTCGAGACGAATAGAATGAACAACAATACACAGTTTTCGATCCGCTTGACTAGAGATAGGGAAGGTGTTAAACATATCATACAGCTCGGCAGAAGGAAAGTATGATGGTTTGCGGAAAAGGACTTTGAGTATCCTCTTATTGTGGACTTCCAGGGTACTCATTAACGATTTACTAAGTAGGGATGACCAGGCGGTTGAGCAATAGAGAAAAATGGGGAGAATATAGCAATGATAAAAAAAGGCGAATGCATTCAAGCGGTAGGTGGGAGCAGTGAGACACGAGGTAGCCAACAGCTTTACTGACTTTGCTACAGATATAGTCGACATGTCTACTAAACGATAAGTCTGAGTCAATGACCAAACCAAGAGGTTTGTGTTGTTTTACCACTGTGAGGTCTGTGAGGGATCCGGGAAGAGTGAATGCATAGGTTGGTTCTGAGTTCGGCAGGAATAATATCTCAGTCTTGGCGATATTAGGTCTTAGTCTCCAGGTAGTCATCCACTGATGGACTTCGTTGATACCGCGCTGGAGACTGTCTCGCAGCCTGTCTAGACACTCATTGAACCGGAGCAGTGCAGTATCGTCAGCAAATAAGGACACACCTTCAACATGACTGGGAAGATCATTTATATACACTAGGAAAAGGAGGGGCCCTAGGATGGATCACTGGGGCACTCCGGACAGAACAGATGAAGCATCTGAGAGAGTTCCACCTACAAAGACAACTTGCGTTCTGTTGGATAGGTAGTCTGTAATCCACTCCAGCGCTGAGTCACACACACCGAAAACTTTGGAAAGTTTAGCAAGTAACGCACGGTGCCACACGGTGTCGAAAGCTTTCTCGAGGTCGAAAAAGCACATGGCAACTTTCCGCCCCATATGACGATGGTCGGCAATGTTTTGGATCAGCTTGGTGAGCTGTAGAGCGGTCGAGTCACCACGACGAAACCCAGATTGCGCGGGATCCAGAGCAGGAGAAATATGATTATACAATTGATTGAAGAAGAGCCGTTCGCAAAGTTTGGAAATACAGGACAGCTGGGAAATTGGGCGATAGTTACTAGCTTGAGATTTGCTGCCTTTGCACTTGTAAATAGGCACAATTTTAGCCAGTTTCCAGTCAGTAGGGAACTTGCCTGTGGTAAAGGAGAGGTTAAATAGGCGGCTAAGTGGAAAAGAAATCGCAGGAGCTAGCTTCTTTATCATATTGTTCGTGATACCGTCTCGCCCTGGCGCTTTCCCAGATTTCAGGTTTGAGATGGCTTTACGAACATCTGCTGTAGTGATATGAACGCGGGTGAATTGGCGAGTAAGACGAGTGTCATATTGGAGAGGGGGTATTACTAAACGTGGGTCATCAGGCACCGCGACAGAGGTAAACTGCTTGTTGAGGATGGTTGCTTTTTGGAAGCTGTCGGACACCAGCAGCCCATCAGGGCTTGCAA